GCATGCACTATTTAATATAGTCACATCCCTTTTTTCACTGATAAAAAATTAATTGTATATCATATAGAAAGGTAAGTTCCCTTTTCACTATTTAGCAACTTGTCAAGTTAGCTTCAGTTTCACCCTTGTACATTATTGATTGCCACCTGTGCTGTCATTCCAAGCTACACCAAATTTTATTTATTTTAAAATATATATATAAAAAGATTCGCAAGTCACACTCTGAAGATCCTTTCCATTTCCCACTACAGAGAAATCCACGCATGTTCTATGACAGAGTTCACTGCATCTCAGTCATGGTTCTCCTCCACTCGGGAAATTGTACTAGATATTTTGCAAACCCTGCAACAACTTCAGCACTGTGTGTGGTGGTGGTGTTTTGGTTTTTTTTTAAATTAAAGAAAAAAAGCAATCTAGAAGTCTACCCATGTACCTGATACAAGCTGAGGTGAAAGGCAACCAGACTGGTTTCCCTGTATCAGGCAGAAATTGGTAACTACCTCCTAAAGTGACCCTTTATCAAACATCATCACTGCTTCAATGAGACACTAAAGAGTATCAGATGAAGAGCCTCCCCCACTTTTAGACTTGTCTTATCCATCCATCTCCAGCTTCAGAAAGCAAATAATGTTTTTAAGCTTTTAAGATAAGCAAAAAGCATATTTCAAAGATGAAGACTATTAATTTTTTTTTTAATTAAAATTTTGATTCAACAAGACCAAGTGTAAGGTCCTGCACATGGGTTGGGGCAATCCCAAACATGGATACAGACTGGGCGATGATGAATGGCTTGAGAGCAGCCCTGAGGAGAAGGACTTGGGGGTGTTGGTTGATGAGAAGCTCAACGTGACCCAGCAATGTGAGCTTGCAGTCCAGAAATCCAGCCGTATCCTGGGCTGCATCAAAAGAAGTGTGACCAGCAGGTCGAGGGAGGTGATTCTGCCCCTCTGCTCTGGTCAGACCTCACCTGGAGTACTGCGTTCAACTCTGGGGCCCCCAACATAAGAAGGACATGGACCTGTTGGAGCGGGTCCAGAGGAGGGCCACAAAGATGATTAGAGGGCTGAAGCACCTCTCCTATGAAGGCAGGCTGAGAGAGTTGGGGTTGTTGAGCCTGGAGAAGAGAAGGCTCCGGGGAGACCTTACAGCAGCCTTCCAGTACCTGAAGGGGGCCTCCAAGAAAGCTGGAGAGGGACTTTTTCCAAGGGTATGTAGTGATAGGACAAGGGGTAATGGTTTTAAACTGAAAGAGGGTAGGTTTAGATTAGATGTAAGGAAGAAATTCTTCACTATGAGGGTGGTGAGGCACTGGACCAGGTTGCCCAGAGAAGCTGTGGATGCCCCCTCCCTCGAAGTGTTCAAGGCCAGGTTGGATGGTGCTTTGAGTAACCTGGTCTAGTTCCACACTAGTGGAAGAAGTCCCTGCCCATGGCAGGGGGGTTGGAACTAGATGATCTTTAAGGTCCCTTCCAACCCAAACGGTTCTATGATTCTATGATTCTATAATTCTATGATTCTATGAAAGCTACAGGTTGAACCACAACATCAGTAACCTAGTATTTATACTAAGACAATATTTCAGCACAGTCCAGACCTTAGTGTTTGGCATTAAAATCTACTGGAAAATAAAATATCTATGTCACTGCCAAATTTACTGATTTCCTTGACCAAAGGTTCCCAAACTAGTAGTCATGAGGCCATGGCAGATAGTTTGCAGCTGGTATTTGGAGTTATACACGTGGTCTGTAAAAAGGGTCAAGCATTGAGAGTAGTTCACTGTTCCAAAAGTTAGGGACCCACTTTCCTAAGCAAGCTGCTTCGTTTTGCCACATACAGTGGTGTGGCTTCTCTGAGATGCCTCTGAAGAGGCAGCTTTTAGGCAATCTCTCTGTTGTATGAGCTTTACTGGTGTGGTAGCAATGAAAAGCCTACAGGATGTCCTGAACAGACATGCTCAAAAGCTGAGAAGCAGTTTAGTGGAAAGTGCAGAATTTTCAAGGTTGCTAATGGCAGGAAGAAAACCTATTGTAAACACAAATGTACTTGTATTCTTTTTAGTAAAAATGCTGAAAATTATTTGGACACAGAATATCATGTTTTGCCAATTTTAACAAAAAATATTTCTGAGTGAAAGAAATGGTATAAAGAACATCAGATCAAAGTCTGGTCAATGTGACAGACAAAAATGCAGATGTCATAGAATCATAGAATCATAGAATCATTAAGGTTGGAAGAGACCTCCAAGATCATCGAGTCCAACCATCAACCCAACAACACCATGCCCACTAAACCATGTCCCTAAGCGCCTCATCTACCCGTCTTTTAAATACTTCCAGGGATGGTGACTCAACCACTTCCCTGGGCAGCCTCTTCCAATGTTTAACCACTCTTTCAGTAAAGACATTTTTCCTTACATCCAATCTAAACCTCCCCTGGCGCAACTTGAGGCCATTTCCTCTCGTCCTTTCGCCAGTTACTTGGGAGAAGACACCGACACCCACCTCGCTACAACCTCCTTTCAGGTAGTTGTAGAGAGCAATGAGGTCTCCCCTCAGCCTCCTTTTCTCCAGGCTAAACAACCCCAGTTCCCTCAGCTGTTCCTCATAAGACTTGTTCTCCAGACCCCTCACCAGCCTCGTTGCCCTTCTCTGGACACGCTCCAACATCTCAACATCCTTCTTGTAGTGAGGGGCCCAAAACTGAACACAGTATTAGAGGTGCGGCCTCACCAGTGCTGAGTACAGGGGCACTATCACTTCCCTGCTCCTGCTGGCCACACTAGTTCTGATACAGGCCAGGATGCCATTGGCCTTCTTGGCCGCCTGGGCACACTGACGGCTCATGTTCAGCCGGCTGTCGACCAACACCCCCAGGTCCTTTTCCGCCAGGCAGCTTTCCAGCCACTCTTCCCCAAGCCTGTAGCGCTGCATGGGGTTGTTGTGGCCGAAGTGCAGGACCCGGCACTTGGCCTTGTTGAATCTCATACAGTTGGCCTTGGCCCATCGATCCAGCCTGTCCAGGTCCCTCTGCAGAGACTTCCTACCCTCGAGCAGATCAACACTGCCGCCCAACTGTGTTGTCTTAGCTGTTGTCTTAGCCGCCCAATGTAATATGTCTTAGCTATGCTAACGATAGCTCTGTTTGTTTACAGAGCACTCATAGCAGGATATGCTTCCTAAGAACTGCAACAGAATCAAGGACTCAACATGAACACATTTTACCCTCTCTTGAACTCTAATATTCTTTATAAGGATTCATAAGCCCTGTCAGTGCTAGACCAGAGGTATCTGCCTGCCCCCTCTGCACTGCTGGGAGGGTACTATACACAAAGGAGAAGTAGTCACCTGAAAGCTGTTCTAAAAGTCAAAGACCTTGTAGCTCAGTTATTCAAGGATGTGGTTATAATTAAAAATGCAGTTCCATTTTTCACCGAAGGGTCCCTGTTGTCTTACCAGGCATGATGGTCTTCTGGCAGTGGAAACATTTAGATGAATACTCATCAGAGTAGCATTCAGTACACAACAAGAGCTCGTCCTTGGCAGCAAACGGTTTCTCCACCAGCGAGTGACTGCATTTGGCACACTTGAAGCATCCCTCATGCCAGTGGCGGCCTTTGTAGGCCAGATCCTTGGAGAAAGTAAGTCCATGTTAATGAAGACATTTCTTTACAGTGTTTTTATCCCTCAGCTCCTCCCAGAAATAAAGTGAAAAATGGAGATCATTGCAATGGGGGCTTGAAGAGATGACACGTGTCTCTGGCAGGAGGTGTGCTCAGAGGTGATGCAAGTACTCAATGTCACTGTGTCAGGGTATTTTGTAGATCTCTTGCAGAGGCTATTAGGAACTGCTTTGGCACAGGCAACAGTCCTTCCTTATGTAACATCAGAGATATGTTTTTATTGGAAGAACCATTTTACATTTTACAGATGGCCTTCAAGGGGAAACAAGTGAGCAACACTTTTAATGTGCACAGGCCACCTGACAAGAAGTGCATTCTCTACAGACTTTGAAATGAACTTCATGTATTTTTTAATGTTACTACCTTTTCTTCCAGCTGACACTACATAACACAAAAGAAAGATCATATTATTGAAGAAAACAAGCAATTAAACTCTCATTGAGGACAAAATGATTCTTAGGAAGATTATTAAAAAAACATTGCTTTTGTTTACACCTAATATAACTCCTCCTAAAAACTTGGCAGAAAAATGTTTGTTTAAGACTCAGCAGGCTTAGGGGTTGAAAAAGCTAACAGTATACGAATGAGACCTCTATTAAGAATTCAAAGAAAGAGCAAACAGCAGATTTTATTTTTCCAAGGTTAAAAAAAACAAGGGGAAAATGCACCACCAAAAAACCTCCCACCTTAAAAAATAAACTAGACCCTTCCAGGTCTCCTTTATAAGTAAGAAGCACAAAAGGACACAAATCCAATCTCATTTTTCTCCTTTGTCAGATCCCTACCCTTTAAAGTGCTAAAAATGAAATACATACCATGCTTCATTTCAGGAGGTGCTGAGTGCTTACCACTTTCATTTGTGTTAGTTAGCACTCTGAACCTTTTAGAAAATAGGCTATCGCTCCAGAGCAGCCTGAGGCAAAGACTGGGTAAGAAGGAGAGGAAGAGAGCCAAGCTCTAGCACCTTGGCAGAGGTAGAACAACCAGCTATAGATCTCTGTGCGCTACTTTTCTAGCTGAATCTGGCCCATTGCACTCCTTTCTTGTTACTCCTGCTTTTTTCTCCCAGTTTTTCCTTCCATTCAGTCCAAAGACATGACTTTTTGTTAATGATCTTTGACATCGGTAGTCCTGCCACTTACTTAATTTTCAATTTTAAAAGTGGAATTAGTGAGCTCAGAGAACATTTTTTCTGGGCGACCCTGACTGGAGCTATGTGTACAAGTTTGCTGTTGAAAAATGCTGATGAGAGTTTGAGAAGAGTCTTCATCCAAGTCAGCAATTTCCTTGGATGATTCCTTTACAGTACTGAGCTGTACTCAGACAATGTGCTTTGAAAACCACGAAGTGCTTTGGCTGGAGAGGCCTCCTGAGAGGCCTATCTTAATAACTTTCTGACCTTCTATTTCAAAAGAACATAGACAAAGCGAGCATGGGGAGAAGGTGAGCACTACATATTGAACTCGGCAAAACAAAGGCATTTTGACAGGTTTTATCTGAACTTAAAATTCAAAGTCAAGTGTACAGGCTGTAAATTGAAGTATGGTGTACTGGAAACCCTGTGAAAGACCACAGAGGAACTCATATTATTAATTAATATTCTAAAAAAGGGGAGAGGTGAAAAGAAAGCCAAGCCCAGAAACACTGCCACTAACATGCCATCTATGACATGAGCAAGGTAAGCATGGAAATAAGTTAAACTTAAAATATATTTCATTTCCAAAAGACAGAGGGAATAATATACAAATTATAAACATGGTTTCTTTTCAGCTTGACATCTGCATGTCAAGATTTTACTTACAGTAAAGGTAATTTATCGAATACTCAAAATACTTTTTTCAATGGTCACGTCTCAGAAATGCCAGTTTCATTCAGCCTGATCTACTGAATTACACCAGCACCCTACCATCACTCAAGCACTGTGCGGTCTCTGCAGCGAGTGAGTGACCGGAGGTAAAGCATGGAGTCCAGTTGTGGTCCACACATACACCACAGCATCGACATATGTTTGAGGTATATGTACGTGCAGATTTCCTAATCTTTGGCCTCGGAGCTTTCCTATTCTGGGAAAATAGCGCTGTTTCTCTCCGCTGTGTGTGGATGTACAACAGCTATGCTTAGGTCTCTTCACCAGCACAGGGATATGCAGAGGGTCGGATACAGAATCTGACATTAAAGACATGGGATTTGTGTGTAATTTAGCAAAGAACAAGAAGTGAAAGCTGAATCTTTACCTTGGAATCACACTCAATAGGTTGCTTGCACTCTTCACAGGGGTTGGCAAACAGGCTGTCATAACATGTAACACAATAAGCGTTTTCTTCTCTTAATGCATACTTCCTTCCACGAAGAGACTGCAGGCAGTAATGACAGTCTGTGTGATTGCTGGTCATTCTGGTGGTGTTCTCCACGTGATCTATAAAGATGGCAAAATCATCTAATTCAGTCGATGACTGTTTGCTTGCCCAAATAATAAATAATGCTGCTTTACCAGTGAAAGTTAGGACAGGTGTTTCTTGGCCATTTGCAGTGCCCTGGATTTCTAACGCTGGGTTGTTCCATAATATAATGGTAGTCTTTAACAACATATGCTGTGTATTGTGTCACCTACATAATGGGCAGCAAGAAGGCTGCTTCAGCTTAATCTAACGGTACTTACACTGATAGATCCGGTACCTGAAAATGAAGCCGTCTTCACATTCTCTGCGTACAACTATTGACATTATGAGCATTATGTACTGGATTGTGAGGCATGGTTTATCCAGAAATCAGGGAATGGAGATAGAAGCTATAGTTCAAGAATTAAACCAACTGCAGAGTTAAATGGCCAAAGAGAAGTGACAAGCACTTTGTAGTGTGTTCCTGGTTTTCTTTTGCCATCACTGTTTTTCTGCTCATTCCTTCCTTTTCACAATACCCCCACATCTACCTGACTGAACAGAAGGAAGACAAGGAACTCCAAGCTATATGGCTGGTTTTGCATAATTCCAGCTGTGCTGCTAGCATGTGGTAGCAATGTAAGGTGACACAAATACTCCTGGACAGTGAAAGAGCAAAATAGAAAGAGAAATAAACTAAATCATAACTCAAACAAAATCATAACTCAGAGTAAGTTTCCCTTGTTGTTATTGGAAAAGATTGTCGTTTCTTACATATTTCTGTATTGCCAGGTTCCATGTTGGCAGTGCCAGAATACTGTCAGATAGATTATATTTCTGTGCCAGACAAGTGCAGAAAATACCACAAACCTATTGAGAGCCAATTGTACGAGTTTCCCATCCTTCAGTTTTTCAGGCTAAAGAGGCTTGGATAAGCATCCAAACCTCAGCTGCTTATAGGTCTGCAGTGCTGAACGTTTTAAGGAATGTGGAGATGAAAACTTATTTCAGTCTTCTCGTTGCTGGTTGGATCATCAGCACTTTGCTAAAATTGGGTCTTGATTCCTGGGAATGAAGGAAGAAGAATCCAGAAAGTTCCCAGTGAAGCAAACCCAGAAACATCTGCTGGACTCATTGGATTGCACTCTTCATTAAACTCGTTGAGTGTTGCTGCAGTCAGTGCCAGCAATCATAAATTTTACAGGATTTGAGAACAACCAGGGAAGGTCTCCTAAAATGTTTACATATCAGTGACTTTTGGCAGCTGAAATCTTTGTGCTTTGAATAACAGTGCAAATTAGTTTATCTTTACCAGAGGCAAAGCCTGAGAGTAAGGAAGAGAAGCATATGAAGACCAAGATTAGAGGGAGTACTTGCCATCACAGACCTTACATCTAGTCCATTTAGAATTACTTCCTCATACTTGTTTTCATACACTCACTGCCTGTCTTATACCCATGGTTCAGTTTTAAAAAGGCATTTCATCTTTTTCTGCTGTGAGATGTAATCAAATATGATGGTTTGAACTATGAGAAAGAACAGTTACTGCAGGTCTCCACTGGCACCAATGCATAAGGTCAGGCATTTATTAATCTATTCCTGGAGGGATAGTAGTAAGACAGTGAAAAGAGAGAGGCTATAATGCTTATCCCAGACCAAAAGTAATGACTTGATCGTTTGGCACAACCTATGGAAAACTTGTTCTTGTAAATTGAAAATCTTTTGAGTTGAATTGATTTACTGTATTTCTGACTGCCCTAAATCTTCGTGCTAGCCTAGACAGGGTGTAGTAAGGAACTCAAATAATCTGTAAGATCAGTGGGAAACATGCTTGCTTAAGAGTATTACAGATGTGTTTTATGTGATATCCTTGGAACAATAGTATAACAGGGCTTGAATCTGGACTTCCATTTCCTTAAGATCAGAGATTTGAATGTGAAAAGAATGAAACCACGTATATGAGAAAATTACATCCATCAGCTTGTACATTTACACAACATGACATAAAACCAGACACAAGCACAGTAATTCAGTGCACGATAACTACATAGTCATCACCAGAATCAAGGTTAAGTTTTGATCATTTTCTATGTTGGGGAAGCAGTATAAAATGGTGGCTAGGGAGACAATCAAGGAATGTTTGTGGTTAATTGGGCTCTATATTCAAGGTCATAGACCAGGCTTGAAACTGGGTTTCAGAGGAATTTTCATTCCTTTTTTTGGTGGGAGTTAAGAGTTATGAACTGCTGCTGAGGATAACCCTGAGTAGACTACCTTTCTGATTTCTTCCCTGCTGAATCAGTACCCCAGCTTCCTAACACAGTTTCGTCCCAGCCTAAAAGTGGCAACAGGAAAATCCTAACAGGGAATGCATGAAGAGCTTATGTGTTACTTATAGTGCTTTTTGTTGTACAAAGCTCACCAACAAATAGTTTCAGATATCTGCAGATAGAGCTCTGTTTTTTCATTCTAATGAACGGTGATACATTTTTAAGTTACTGAAAACTCTGCATACCCAACAATTTTCTTCAAGAAGTGGTTTTCTTGGGGTTTTTTTGTTTGCTGTTTTTTTTTTTTTTTCTTCCCAGGAAGCCAATCTGTTCCAGGAAGCCTGGGTTATACACACATACAAGACCTGCTATTGTAATACTCCAGAACTTCTGAATTTGTAATGTAGTTATCCTCCTAAAAAACTATATGGATATGGGAACAAAGTACCATTACGCCTGTTTTACAGATGACAGTGGTTGTCTGAGAACATTGAAAAACTACACCCAAGGTCAGAGTCAAAGCCTGGGGGTGTCCTTGAGCTGCTCCTCTACTGAAGTGCTCAAGTCACCCAAGGCTTTGTTTCAGAAAATGTCTTCAGGGTTTGACCATGATGATATAAAACCATATTTGGGAATGAAGCAGCGATGGTATGAAAAAGAATGATGATTTTTGCAAACCTCTTGGCAAAGGTCTGGGTAACCTTTGTGAACTACTTTTACCATTAGGCAATGCAACAAAAAAAGTGAATCTCATCTCCCCAGCACCACTTACCCTTGCTCCAATAAATAAGTAATGGTACGAGCACCACGTAGTTAAGTAGAATGTTTTTCTTGTGCTTTGATCCTAATCTCTAGAGAAATATGTTTGCTTTAAGTTTGCTGGAAGCTAGACTTCGTGTTTTGAAGGTCAGTTAAGAAATCTCAGGAGGTCTGACGCTATTCACTCTCATGGAATGAAACGCTGACTCCAGCATTCCAGCTGCTAACTCGTGTCCTAGGCACAGGGAAAGACTGCGATGTCTTCATTCCTTGGGAAAAGAGGATTTTGTTATCTAAATTGGAACAAAGCTAAATACCGTTGATTTTTTACGTATCTAGTAGGCATGGATACCTGATACCATTTGTAGTGTTAGAATATTCCAAGGGGGAGCAGAGAGATGTTGCCAAAGATGTGAGGATATTGCAACTGGAGTCCCTGAGGTCAGATTTGAGAATGCAGCAGTCTCATGGTATGAATTATAAAGCAGATGAAAATAAAACAACGGAGCTGACTAGTCTGCCCACTGTTCCATCAGATTAAGGTAGAATTTAGCTACAACAAATTAGGAGGGGGACTTTCTGTAGAGCCAAATGGTTTCCTATAAGATGCAGAGCACTAGAAGGCTTCCAGTGAAGAAAGCCATAGGAAAATGGTTGTGAAGTTGTGAAACCTGATAAATGTGGAACCGTCAGGAAAGGAATGCTTGTTTTCTCACTGGAACTAAAAAGCACAGCCACAATGTTAAGGTGTCTCCTCATAATTTATCTTGATATTTTCTATAAATGTATGTTAATTTCTCTTAGGTTATATAAATATAAAAAGCCCAGAAACATTAACCCTACTTAGATGGGAATGAATATACATAGGCACAGAGGTATATACATACGTGTAAAAATATTGTACCTTTTTCTTTTGCTTTATGGCAATTCTAATGGACTATTTCCTGATCTAAATAAGCCTGCCATTGAACTGCATCATCTTTTTCCTTAAGAACATATAATGAATGTAACAAGGCTCTCTATTAGGGAGGCATAAAGAAAGAAAAATGATGGCAAAATAAATCATTGCAACAACACTGAAGGATAAGAAAAATAAATTGATCTATTATGAGGGGGACACCCCTGCAAGCTGTCCCAGACACCTGTTTATTTTCAGTTAAGTACTTTTTTTTATCTTGGAACATGGTTTTGCACGAATTTGCTGATTTCATTTTCCCTAATTTTTTTTTTTTTGTGAGAGCTGCTGAACAATTAATCATCACATATATTTGCAAAATACATTAGTGACTCAAGGTTACAACTGCATTGTAAAGCTAACAATATCATTATAAGGAAAAATTTCTAACAATATCATTATTTTATAAATAAAAGTTTCTAACAAGGTTCTATAAGGAAATTTTTCCTCATTTCAGAGATCGTATTTTCTTGATTTCTCTGGATGCCTGCTACCCCCCAGAAATCTGTTAATTTGTTATTGTGACTAGACCTAATAAAAGCCCTGACCCCTCGAGAAAAATGAACTCACAAGACAGTTAAACGTATGCTGTATTTTCAGTACACTGGCAATACCTTCGCTTTGTCTCTTCCCTACCTTAGACTAACTGCAATTTTCCCAGTGATACCTTTAATTTACACTTGAGTGTTTAAGGATACTAGAATTTTTGCTCTTCTAAAAATGGTTAGAGAAGCAATAGGAACTCAGGGCATATATTACAGATCAAGTCAAAACAAGTACCTACAGGAAAGTAGAGACACAGGTGTTAACGTTGAACAAGCTGTTTTATCTCCATGGCACAGCACAGTAATACAAAGTCAGGTCCTGGGAGTACCTGAGTGGGTGCAGAGCTCTTGCTGATGAAGTTCTGCTTTAAGCAACCAGGATAGATGCCAACCAGGACTGCGCTGTAAGAATGCGACTATATGGCTTCAAGGTCCACAAGTGACACGGTTTTGGTGGACCGTCTAGGCAAAGCAGCTCATTTAGAGGCTGATCTGGTAACTGCACCGCACTGCATTGTACCATGTTTACACACCCCACGACCACAAGTAAAAAGGGCAAGAGCTCTGGCTTAACTAGGGGATCGAGCATTCCCAGGAATTCTGTTTCGCCTTAATTGGTATTGCTGTCTGCTTTGTTTACACCATGTAAACTCAGACATTGGTGTAGTCATCTAATTTCTTCCTTTATCCCAGGACAGCATAATTTGCTACTTACCTAACCTTCAAATTAGGACAAATTAGAGCAGTGAAAGTACCTCAACTAAGTGTTCACAGTGGTGCAGACATACAGAAATGCCTTTGCAGAAGAGACCTGACTAGCCTATGTCCCTCAAACTCTCTTTACTAGCTACAGAGTGGGTGCAATAGCCTAGCCCCATTGCCTCTACGGCAAGCTAGATATTTCCTTTAATTCAGCCACAGAACTTTCACCAGCAGCATCCAGCTTGTCCAATAGAACTTGTACTTGCTACTGAGGTCAGCCTGAGTAATTTAGTTGGCAAAATTCAAATTAATGGCTCTGTATGCATCTCTCCTAATGGACATTCGTCCTCTATTATGTGCCTTGCTAGAAAATCTCAAGAATTACCACCACAGGAAACCCACTGTACAGAGAAATTAGAGGTCAGAAATAAGCATGCCAAATGTAGTAGCTGGAAGTTATTTTTTTGGAAAAGGCAGGCAGAAAAGTTGCTAACTGGCTACTGAATTAAACCTAGATTATTTGCTGGATTTTTTTTTTTTTAACTAATCAACACATGAGAGTCAAGGAGCGCAATTCATCATTTAATACAAGTACTACACCGGTGCCCAGAGATTCCAGTCCAGAATAACTGGCCCTATTATTCTGAACACAACAAGCTCGGCTGATCAGCAGTGTTGCTGGTCAGTAATGCAGCTCCATGTTTAAGTAGAGACAAACTGTCAGTGGAGTGCTCGATATTGATTCAAGTCTCTCCCAAGCTATTACCCAGGAACGCAAATCCTTTTCATCTGCTCAGATTCCTGGGTGCTGTCAATACCTTCACCAGCAGCAGTATATGAAAAAAGTAGGGTTAATGCTATGGCTTAGACAATTTATCTTTCTGAAATCATTCTTACCTACATTTTTTTTTACAAGTTTTCACATAGTCTGGTACAGTCAAAATTTTCTCCTGTCTTCATTATGGAGCTCATTCCTTTCTGACTACTGTCAGATTTATAGAATCAAATGAAGCCATGAAATATTTCAACCATGTATTGGTGTACTTTTTCATATAAAAACCTGGCAGCATTCTCAGTCACACTCTATACATTCAACCATAAAAAAGGTTAGAGGATTGCATCTCATACAAATGGGCCATGTGAAAAAGTATACCCAAATTAGCTGATGAGTTATATACTTAGAAGACATTTAGACAGTTTTAAATTTATTAGCTTCAGCTGCCCGAGTTCCAAAAGCAAAGCAACCACGAGCCTAAGGTGTGGATGAGAAATCATTAGTGAATCCTAGGTACAATGTTAAAGGCGACAATTTAAAGTAATGACATTAGTGGTGTACCCCAGGGGTTGACACTGGGACCAATACTGTTCAACATCTCCATTAATGACCTGGACAATGGGACAGAATGCACCCACAGCAAATTGGCAGATGACACAAAACTGGGAGGAGTGGCTGATACACCAGATGGGTGTGCTGTCATCCAGAGCGACCTCACCAGGAGAAGTGGGGTGAGAGGGGTCTCATGAAGTTCAATGGGGGAGATGCAAAGTCCTGCCTCTGGGGAGGAATAACTGCAGGTATCAGCACATGCTGGGGGCCAACCAGATGGAAAGCAGCTTTGCAGAGAAGGACCTGGGGGTCCCAGTGACATCAAGTTGAACACGAGCCAAGAACGTGCCCTTGCGGTTAAGAAGGCCAACAGCATCCTGCAGGACATTAGGAAGAGTATTGCCAGCAGGTTGAGGGAGGTGATCCTTCCTCTCTACTCAGCACTGGTGAGACACATCTGGAGTGCTGGGTCCAGTTCTGGGCTCCCCAGTACAAGAGGGATATGGAGCTACTGGAAAGAGTCCAGTAAAGGGCCACAAAGGTGGCTAAGGGACTGGAGCATGTCTCCTATGAGGAAAGGCTGAGAGAGCTGGGACTGTTCAGTCTGGAGGAGACAAGTCTCAGAGAGGTTCTCATTAATGTGTACAAATACCTGAAGGGAGGCTATGAAGAAGAGGAAGCCATGCTCTTCTCAGCGGTACTCACTGACAGGAGAAAATGCAATGGGCACAAACTGAGATACAAGGGATTCCGTTTAAACAGAAGAAAAAAACCTTTCACTGTGAGGGTGGTTGAACACTGGCACAGGTTGCCCAGAGAGGCTGTGTAGTCTCCATCCTTGGAGATATTAAAAACCTGACTGGACATAGGCCTGGGCAATCTGCTTTAGGTGATCCTGCTTAAGCAGGGGGTTGGGCTAGATGATCTCCGCAGGTCCCGTGCCACCTCAACCATTCTGCGATTCTGTGATGGACCACAGAAAGGCTTATCACTGCTGAATGATAAAAGAGGAAGGGTGAAAGAGTCCACAAAACCTCAGTATTCCCTTATGGGCATTTGAGCAGGAGTGGGGTCATTCTCATAACAACAAAACAGGTCTCCTGTAGATGACTTATTGTGAGTCCCCATCTAAGCTAGACATGCACGTAGTCTAAACACATGAGAAATGCTACTTCTTTCAGCTGTAATATTTACATGCTTGAAACTGAATGCATGCTTTAGAGCTTTGCTGCCTATATCCTGGGAGCACAGATTTTGGAAGATATTTTCAAAGATAATAAAAAAGTGGGATTTAAAAAAATATATAAGCAATTAGGTTCTTCATTACAATTAATTTCAATATTTCCTGATATTTCAAGTCTGGTAAACATAGTCGCTAAATCCTTCTCAATTGAAATACGTTCAGTGGAATTGCATGACATTGGTTACGGAGGAAAGAGCAAAGGAAACTAGTGATTCTAGATAATTTCTTTCAAAGAAAAAAAAGTTTTAGTAGATTCAGCATTACCACAGGGAAAAATCACTTCCAACATTCTCAAGTCCCAGCCATGTGTGAAATTAAGAGAGACACATATTATTTTCTGTGCTGTCACTGAGTGTGAAACATGATCAACATGTCCTTTGTCAACCCGCCTGATACTTGGATATGAGTACTGCCCAAAAGCTGGGCCTTTTCTGATGGAAAGGCGTTAGTGGCTT